TAGTTATAATATCAAATTTGAATACAATAAATATTAATAATTAAAATATTTATTAGGTATTATTATATATTTTTTACTAATTGTAAAATTAGCTAATTAATATAAACAATAATTGAAAAACAAAAATAAAAATAATAAAAAAATATATTTAAGTTTTATATTAATTTTTACTGAAATTATGTAATCTAAAAAAAATAATATATAAAAAAATATATAAAATTTTAAATAAGTAATATTTTAATTAATATACTAATTATAAATAAATAATATTTTAATTTTTTATACTATATATTTCAGAGTTAAATATATAATATAATCAAAAATAATAAAGATTTTTTTACTTTATTTTTTTACAAAAAAATTATAATATCTTTAACAAGAAATTTCAAATAATTTAAATATAACAAAAATATTAAAAAACTAATTAGTAACAAGAATATTAATTTAATAATTTCCATTAATAATATTTTAATTAGTTTAATATAATTTAAAGCTATTTGTATACAAGTTTTAAAATATATAATTAAAAGAGAAAAATAAAATATTTAAATATTAAAAGTTATTTATTTTCGAGTGTCAATATATTAAATTAAAGTTTAACTAGAACTTATAATTATATATTTTTTACAAATACTAATATAATATTTTGAAAACAAAAAAGAATATAAAATAAATATATTAATTAAAATAGAATTCTAATTTATTAAATATATAAATAAAAAAGTAAAAGAAAAAATAAATAAATTAATATATATTTCAGAAATTTATAATTAATTAAAATATATTAATCAAAATAATTAAATAAATAAGAAGTAAAAAAAATAAAAAAATAGAAAATAGAAAAATAGAAAAATAAATAAATAAATAAATAAATAAATAAAAAAGTAGAAAATAAATAATAATAAAATAAGTTAATAATATAAAATAAAAATAAGACAAATATAAAAATAAAAATATAAAAATAAATAATATAATAATTAATAATATACAAGATAATTAAAAAGATATTTTAAACTTTTATATAATATTTATAACTTTATAATATAATTATAATAGTATTATTTTATATATTATTATAATAATAACAAAACTTTTATTAATTTTCAAATCAAATTAATTAAAAAAATGACAAAAATTCTTTATAAAAAATTATTTTACTTTTTACTTTATATAAATTACATTATTTTTTATTTTTACTTTATATAATAAATTATTTAATTTTTTATTTTATTTTACTTTTACTTCTTATATAGCAATTTATTTTACTTATTATTTTATTTTTATATTTATAAAAATATATAAATAAAAATAATATTTGAGCTTTAACTCAACCTATTATTATTTGAAAATAAAACTAAGTACTTTTATTACTTTATATTTTATCTCTTTCACTTTTAATTATATATTTTAAAGTCTATATACAAGTAATTTTGAATTATATTAAACTTATCAAAATATTATTATTGAAATTTTGAAATTTTAAATTAAAATAAATAATTTTTTTGTTATTTGAATTTTGAATTTTGATACTTTGATATTTTGATATTTTGATATTTTTGATATTTTGATATGTTAATAATTCTTATTTGTGAGAAGAATAAAGTGAAAGAATCTTTATAATTTTTGTTATTACTAATTATATTTTCTTAATTCTAGAATGTTTAATGCTAAAACAGATAATCAGCATGATAAACTCTATTTTATTACATAATTTTTCTTTTATTTCATCATAATACATCTCTTTTCTTTTGATTTTTACTCTTTTACAACTCTTTTATACTTTTACTTTTCTTCAAACTATTATAATTTTAGTAGAAATTTGTATAGAATTTAGATATCTCTCTTTTCTTTATTATTTTGTTTTCTTGTTTAATTCTTTCTTCCAATTTTGTTCAAGTTTGTAAGCTAATTTACTGATTAGTAACAAACTTGTAACAATATGTACTTTTATTTGCAAATCTCATAAAGTTTTAAGTATTAATTCATATAAAGTTAAATTTATTATCATTATATGAAAAATCATCTTTTTTTCATTGGCTAAAAAAGCACACCAACTTCAAAATATACAGTGACAATCATAATTAATGCAACAAAAAAAAGATTTTTTTTGAATTGAAATATTTCACGAAAATTAGGAGATATTCTTTTTTGTTTTTTGATAATTTTGTTCGCTAATAGTATCATTTTTATATATTAAATTCTTAACAGTTATTATTATTTCCAATTCCAAGATAAATACATGATTAGTACAAAATACGTGTTGCATTATTTATGATCATTTTATACAAAAATCAGACGATCATAGTTGTGCTATATAAATATTATATAAAAGGTAATTTTATCGAATATTGTTTATATATCATATTATATTACAGCTTTTTGATCAAAAAATTCAAGTGCAAAAATGTCATACGACTCCAGAAGAATGGGCACAAATTCTCCTTTCACTCCAAAATGAATACACTACAAGGCAAATAGCAAAGTCAAAAAATATCAATCTCTCAACAGTTTCTCGTATTAATAAAAGATGATAGGAATAACATTCTCTTGATAATGCAGTAAGATTTGGTCGATCACCTACTATAAATGAACTAATAAAAAAATCATTAACCTTATTACCTCCTGGTGGTATTTGTCTGTGGTAGAAGTTCAAAAATGCATACAAGAAAAAGAGAATATTAATATATCAGCACCTAGTATTCGTTGTATATTACAGAATAATAATTTGATATCAGAAATAAAGAAAAAAAATCATACCTAGGCAAAGAACATCAAATAAAATAGTTGGAATTTGCACGAAATCATGAAAATTGAATTATAGAAAATTAGTCGAGGATTATATGGTCCGATGAATCTAAATTTAAGATTTTTGGTTCTGATAGAAAGTAATATTACTGGAAATATCTAGATAAGCCATTAAATCAATTTCATATTAAATTTATGATGAAGTTTGAAGTGGATCAGTGATGATTTGGGGATGCTTTACGTCCTATGGTGTTGGTGGCTTTTGTAAGATCGATAATATGATGAATGCTGAATTGTACCAACAGATACTTTGTGAGGATCTTATAAATACTATTAGAGATCATGAATTCACTGTCAGAAATATCATATTCCAACAAGATGGAGATCCTAAACATATGGCAAATTCGACGAAATGGTGACTTAGGAATAATAGAGTTAAAGTATTGGATTGGTCACCACAATCTCCTGATCTGAACCACATCAAACATTTATGGAATGAGATTGATCATCATCTTCGGTGTCTTCCTGGATAAATTTCGAGTAAGGAGGACTTGTGGAACAAGATACAACAGGTTTGGCAAGAAATCGATGTTGATACCTGTACCAACCTGATTCACTCTATGCCAGAAAGAGTTCGTGATGTAATAAAGGCACGAGGTGGCTACACAAGATGGTAGGGTGGGCCGAATTCTATATAATATATACATTTAAATGAAAAAAATTAGTATTTTAGTTTAGTTTTATATGTTGTATTTGAGTTGTGTTCAAAAAGAAAATAAATAATGCAACAGTACTTATCGAATAAACATATAATTTGCGGGGTAATTGACTTATGGATCCGTATTTGATTTTTACTATCTGAAAACGATACTATTAACGAATAAAACATATAAAAAAAAGGATATCTCTGAATTTGCATGAAATATTTCGATTCAACGAAAAATTTTTTTTTGTTGCATTAATTATGATCGCCACTGTAGGTTAATTTTAGTCAATGAAAATGAAGATGGACTTAATAGTCGTAAATTTACCTCATCACAAAATATTTTTGCGTTTTTGCACAATAGTTCATGGATTAATGTTCAAAACTTATGAAAATTTGCAAATATGTAAATTATTCCAAACTTTCACTATATTCTAGAATTTAATATGGTGAACATGTTTGATTATTAGTAAAAAAATAGATTTTTCAAAGCATATTTATTCATTACATGTATTTTAAATTTTTAAAGACTGTTATAATTTTAGTTGACCTGTTCATGCACTACAAATAGATTTTAATAATTTATTAGATTCTCGATAATAGAATTTGCCAAATTTTCGGACATCGAATTTCGTTATTCAAACACTAATGTTTCGCGATAATAAGGTTCTCTCATTATCCAAACTTTTAAGATAAACTTTATTTGTCAAATTACTTTTTTTCTTAATAATTTCATATTCACCATTTCAACAAAAGTACTAAACTCACATATAAGGCGGAGTCAGTAGAAAAGGGACAAATATATTCGAGTAATTTACCCCTTTTTTATTGACTTCACCTTGTAGTTTTTCATATGTCAAATAAGTAGCCAAGTAGATTCTATTTACATATATACATATATAATTTTTTAAAAAACTTTAATCATCGGGACAGTCATAATACGTAACGAATTTGTCATATTTCATAATTGTTTGATAGTCATATCAAGTACTTCTTAATAATGTCGTCGTTTGAAAAGTTTCGGCAAGAACGACCAATGAATAAGCTGGTCTTTTTTTGCCCAATATAAAGCTTTATGCATATCACGTTGAGTTCCATAGCCCTTTTCATGACAATTAAAAAGTCCTTGAATGGCTCTCGAGTTGCCATTGGAATATGCCTTCGAGTACCAAAAAAAGGCTCTACGGAAATTCTGCTCATAACCCCACCCGTTATAATAGTGATCTGCCAGAGTTCGCATTCCGCATATGTGGCCTCTTTCTGCTGATTTCTTGAACCATTCAAATGCTTTTTCACTGCTCCCTATCGTGCCGAGACCATCACGATAGCAATAACCTAGCTAAAGAGATATATATTTAATTTAAAATTCTAAAATGTAAATATAAATTAATGAACAAATTAAAGAAAGAATGTAGAATTACTTGATTTTGTGCAAACGCGTCGTTGCTAGATTCAGCAGCAAATCTGTAACTGTTAAATGCCATCGAATGGTCAGCTCGGACACCAATGCCGTGATGATAAAAAAGTCCCAGCATACATGCGTAAATAGACTCATCAGCCTCCTCAATGAGTAATTGAAATACTTTTTTTCTTGTGGTTCCTTGGGAATTGATCCATTCGTCGACAGATTTTATTACATTTCCATCCGACGAATATGGACCAGGATCCTTTACGGCATAAAATACCTCACGTAGTTCCTTAAGATCTAGAAGAGAACTCATGTTAGAGATTAGTAAAAGAATTTTGGTGTGTACATGTATTTAAATACATGTAAAAACACAAATTATGTGTACAATCATCATGGGATTACACTATCGCTATGAAATCTTGGCGCTATACATACAAACGTTATCTCGTCAATAAAATTTTTTTTAGGAAAGCGATTTTTTAAAGAGTAACGTTAACGTTAAGAACAAATCTATAAATAATAAAATCTATAAATAACGATAATAATAAATTATAATTTATCGCTTATGTGATATGTCGCTATGTCCCCAGTTACTAAGAGGGTAGAGTTAGGGTTATGGGCCCAAAAAAGACTAAGATTATATTTTTGGTCCCCGTTACTATTAAATTTGGGGTCCTGCGATAAATCGCTATAGCGGTAATTTACAAAATCCAATAATAAAAAAATTGAAATTGTATGAAATAATGATTTCCAAAAATTGATGTTTAAAGACTATTATTGACTTGCACAAAATCAACTGATCAGTACGGAATAACAACTTTATTCATTGTGCATATATAAATAGTTCTTTGTGACGAATAAGGTTACATAAAGCTATAGTAATAGAGTAATATATATTACATTCAATTATCGTTATTAATGTTCGCCTCAATTTTTTATAGCTTGTTTCTACTTGACAGTCTGAAGTAAATATATGCATTATATTTTAATGAAAAGTCAATACCGGAAACTTTTGTCGCCCACTGTAATCACCATTTTCGATATATAGATATTGCGCTTCCTCAGCAAATCAAATTTGGACTGTTATACCATATCGATATGACATTTAATCTAACTATTTTTATCTTTATTTTATGGATATCGATATCGATACGTACGTATATGATTATTTCTATTTTGGTTTCTATCTCCTTAACAGTTATTTTCCGTTTTTCTTAAGTTGTGAATATCGTGAAGTATAACGAGATCAAATTTAATTGCATTCTAATAATTCATAGTAATAGCGATAGAGAGAGTTACGGTTTAGCTGGATTACATGAAGTTGATGCACAGTTCCCCGGAAAGTAATGGCGAACAGTTTTACAATTTAAAAATTAAGAACAAGTTTTTCGAAAATATGCTTCTATTCAAACTGAGCGAGATCGCTCAGCTTTGTTGATATCAGATTATTTAGTGATACGGTAATAGTTAAAGAAAACCGAGCAATTAAGTAAGTTGATTTCTGAGTCGTCAGCTGCCTTTAACCTAAATCTCACGAGTTTCAAAGCAGGCCTCCAGACATTGTTTTCTTGTCGCAATCATAATTTAACAGTGGTGATAAATGACTTTAAATGACCCAAATGACTAAGTACCCTAGCCATGGCGAAAAAAAGTTACGGGTCATGTGATTCCGATATATCCGAACTAATCAGATTTTTCCAAACCAAAATTCCGATTCGAATTCCGACGCGAACCCCAAATCATATTATTGTATTTTAATAAATAACAAACTTAACAAACTCATTAAAATATGATTAAAATTGTTA